GACAATGACTATTTGATTAATCGTGGTAGTTCATATTTTTCAGGCAAGAAGAAAATAGGCACTTAAAACAATTGTATTACAAGTTCCATGATAAAAGCATTCAGACTCCCTTAAAGAGGAAATCACCTTTCAATTTTTCTCCAGTGTCATCTGAATCAGTTTACAAGATGTCTTCCCCCTTTGAAATTAATTCACTGCAATTTCCACAGGTACTCCTATGTAGTAATTCTTGAATTTGATATTAAGATTCTTAGTACATTCTTTCTTCAAGACATATGTGCATCATGTTTCAGATCACAGATTGCTCTTGTCTTGCTCAGACATCTTGTCAACTTGAACACTGACAAGCAGAGTAACAATAACTTATTAACATGGTGTCCTGAATCATTTTATTCTTCTGTAATCCAAGACATATATGCATATGACATTCTTGTACAGAAACTTTCTTGTAACTAATTTTTTAGAGCTTCTACAAAATAATTGAAATATTTGTAATGAATTATCTCTTTTTATGTTTCAGACACCAACATCACAGACTATTTGGGCTGATAGAATTACTTTGCCATCACAACACAAAACTAATTAATTAATATCACTAAGTATTAATCAATTCCATAATTTTTGTCTGTGATTAATTTGTTTGTAATTATTAATAAATATTAAAAGTTATTAAACCTTAAGAAAGTATTCATTTTCTGAATTAAAATTCATATCTTGTAATTTTTAGGTTTTACTTTCTGGCATTCTAGTACAAACATACTATATATAGAAGTATTTTGTAGTATGTACCACACTTTAGTATATATATATATTAGGAAATATTAGGGAATTTGTGCACCCCTAGTGGTCGGAAATGTCGATCTTCTACGCATGCGCAGATTCACTAAAGTGATGCAAAACTTGAACTGTCACAAACTCCCTAATATCGTGATGCGGCGGCAATTTGTTGACAGAACAAAAACCTTATCGTCGGGCTCTGGTAACGAAAAAATGGAAAAATCTTGTTCCTACGTGTCGTAAATTACTTCCTCTAGTAAGTTGTGTATTCATAAACCACGTTTTGTGGCTTCTTGATACTGAAACATCGATTGGCAGCAAAATGTATGTGTGTCAATTGTCCAATCCTATAGCTCGCCTAGGCCATTCAATTTTTTTCAAAATTACTATTCTCTCATCGATTTGAACGAAGTCAATGCCATATGTGTTTGAATCTGATATTTTGATTGTTGGGAATACTTTACATGAAGCCCCAAACAATATTTTTAAAATATTATCTGGTGGTTCAGATCAAGTCACCCTCTTTTCACCAAGGAGGCCCGGGTTCGATTGCTGTCGTAATCCCTGAAAATCTCATGTGAAATTTGTTCCAACAAAAATAGTTTGGCTGCTTCACAAGGGCTAGTATAACAACTGTGAAGTGTGCTAAACCCTACCTCAATTCTAATTCCTTCCCCGTTTTGGGGTTTCGCTGAGTAGTGACGCAGGAGCGCGTATAATATAGAGAGATATTTATAAGAATGAACCGTTTTGACAACTAGTGCTGGCAACATAACTGAATGTTCTGTGGTCGTTGTGTACTTCAGCCCATTTGACACCTTCCTTCACTAATTCGTTTGCAGTTGTCTAAGTAGTGAAGTGCTTCGACGCTTCATTTTGTGATGTCCTTGTCTGTCGTACCATTGCTATATAATATTACCAAAGCACTGCGCAATTAGCACCAATTTTGAAAGTTGTTTTTCAGTACTATATCTGTTGAAGATGCCACAATGTTTTGAAATCCTCGCAGTGAATGACACAGTTGCCAAATTATTTCAAATAACAAAATGGACAACAAATTTGCCATCATCTAGGTAGAGTACTAATTTTTTTCATTAAGATATTTTACAAAAGTTTTCACATTGCTCCAAGGCAAACATTCTTTGAGCCACGAGTGAAATGAAAAATATGGAGTAAGGCTTTTATTTAAAAAAGACAATAGAGTACTAAGCCATAAAAAGAAGAACGTAGACAAAAGAAAAAAAGACCTAAAATAAAAAAAGAGAACAGCTGGCAGCAAGATAATATTATAAATAATTGAGTAAATACATTGACATTTTCATTAAGATTTTAGAAGTGTATCTTTCCAAATTGTCATCAGAACAAAGCTGAGTGTTTTGCAATTTTTTGTTTTATATTAAAGGAAAAGAAGGGCAATTTAAGTACTCGGATTCGGCTAAGGATTTTCATCTCTGCATGGAAATACTATGCATTAAAAGGGTCTGGTAGTTTTTCACTTTTTGTTTTCCGCAATTCTCGATATTGTATGTATTCCAAACTTTGGTCATAGAGTAATTATACCCTCTT